TTCGCGCGTGTTTTTTCGCCAAATGATCAAGGATGCTCCTCGATGGTCCTCGCCGAGAAAAAATGCACACGTCCGAGCGATGCCAAGTACTAGCACGGCTTGCTCGTGTTGGAGGCGCACGTCCGAACCGCGCATGTGGCACGAGCATCGTACAGCAGCGAGTTCCCCCCCGCGGCATGGCCCGCGAGCGCCTGCCAGGGAGGCTTTAATGCTGTGCGGGGCCGTGCCTGCACGGAGTGGGCCCGTCGTGGTGCTCCGCTGTTGCCTGGAAGGTTGTTCGATGTCTTCTCTAAGTCAAGGGACCCAAGGACACACAAATAAGTACACGCAAATAACGACATTCCCCATAGTTTCCCATATTTTCTGGGTCTTTGTCTTCCCCCCCACTTCCCATAGTTTCCCATATTTTCCTGGGAATCGACGATGAATTGTGTCGGTGTGTTTGTTCCCCTCCTGACTAAGGCCGATCCCCCTCGCATCACCGCCCCCGCGCCCCTAGAACACCGCCCCCCCTGCTGCGGAGCCGGTGTCGGACCCTTGAACCTTCGAACATGTCACGCAAACCAATCGAGGGCCGAAATCGGGCCCCCGCTAGGAAGGTCAAGACCAGCCACCGGGAAGGGGGAGCTCAAAGCAGACCCCCCCCCCCCGAGGGGCGCCAGAGAGGCGGCCTGCAGAGGCCCCAAGAGGGGCCCAAGAGGCCCCGAAGACCGAGAAGAGGCCCCCAGGAGGTCTCCAGGAGGTCCTCCAAGAGGCCTCCAAGGCACCCCAAGAGAAAGAGCCACCAGGAGGGCCCCAAGACGCCACAGCAGGCCTTCAAGAGACTCCGAGAGGCATCCCAGGAGACGGACCTCCGAGTAGCTTCTGGCCCGGGAGGCTCCCCGAGCTCTCCAAAGGATGCCACGCTCCCCAGACAATCGGGGGCGCGCAAACATGGATCGGGGGTGCCCTCCCCAAAATGCGGCCGGTGCCGCCTCGTTCGGTGGCGGAAATCCGCGATTTCCCGTGGAAGAGGGACCCGTCGCCGCTCCTGCCCTCACAGGAAGGGGCTCGACCACGAGACCTTCCGCAAGAAACTCTCCTCCTCCCCCTCCTCCTCCTCCTCCTCCTCCTCCTCCTCCTCCTCCTCCTCCCCTCCCTCCTCCTCCTCCTCCTCCTCCTCCTCCTCCTCCTCCTCCTCCTCCTCCTCTCCCTCCTCCCCTCCTCCTACCCCCTCCCCTCCCCCTCCTCCTCCTCCTACTCCTCCTCCTCCTCCTCCTCCTCCTCCTCCTCCTCCTCCCTCCTACTCCTCCTCCTCCTCCCTCTCCTCCTCTCATCATCCATCATCATCATCATCATTCATAATCATCATCATCATCATCATCATCATCACCACCACCACCACCACCACCACCACCATACCACCACATCATCATATCATCACATCATCATCATTCATCACATCATCATCATCATCATCATCATCATCATCATCATGCATCAACATCAGCATCAGCATCATCATCATCATCATCATCATCATCATCATCATCATCATCATCATCATCATCATCATCAGCACCCTGCTCCTCCCCCTCCTCCTCCTCCTCCTCCTCCTCCATCCTCCTCCTCCTCTTCGAGACCCAGGACCCACCACCACCACCACCACCACCACCACCACCACCACCACCACCACCACCACCACCACCACATCATCATCACATCATATCATCACATCATCATCATCAGCATCATCATCATCATCATCATCACATTCATCATCATCATCATCATCATCATCATCATCATCATCATCATCATCATCATCATCATCATCATCATCATCATCATCATCATCATCATCATCATCATCATCATCATCATCATCATCATCATCATCATCATCATCATCCCCCTGCTCCTCCCCCTCCTCCTCCTCCTCCCTCCTCCTCCTCCTCCCTCCTCCTCCTCTTCGAGACCCCAGGACGTCCAGTGGCCTTTGGTGCGGGAGCGTCGTGCCTTCCGCAGCCAAGCCATCGAAGCGCAGGAAACCCAGGGAACCCTCGAGGCAAGCGGGGCGCTTCTTGGCGTGGGCCCGCACCGTACTCCCGCAACCCTCCGCGTACCCGCAGGCTGGGGCCTGCGCGAGGGTGGACGCCCGCGGTGAAGCGGCGCTTCTGGAACTTGCTGTCAGGTCGGGTATGTCCCCCTACAGGCGAATGGTGGATGCAGAATTGAAAATACGCAAACAACAAAATCAAATTATCCCAGAACGACCCTACCTAGGAGTTGGAGCCCCGAGGAGAGCAATATTAGTAGTAACGGTAAACGCCGTCCTCCTCCTTCTCCTCATCGTCGCAGGTGTAGCAGTAGCAGTAGCGGTAGTAGTAGTAGTAGTAGTAGTAGTAGTAGTAGTAGCAGTAGCAGTAGTAGTAGTAGTAGTAGTAGTAGTAGCAGTAGTAGTAGTAGCAGCAGCAGTAGTAGTAGTAGTAGTAGTGGTACAGCTTAATACCTACATCTACATCTAGACCTACATCCACGTCTACACCTGTCGCACATTGCGTTTGTGTTGCCTGTTCGTTGCTTTGATGTTGCTTGTGATGTGCTTTGATTTGCGTTGCTTGTGCTTTGCTTTGCTGTTGCTGTTGTTGATGTGCCTTTGATTTGATGGTATGATATGCTATGTTATGATATGCTATGCTATGCTATGCTATGCTATGCTAGTCTGCACAATGCTATGCTATACTATGCTATGCTGCGCTATGCTGCGCTGTGCTGCGCTATGCTATGTTATGCTAGGGTATGATAGGCTGCGCTATGAAATGCTAGGCTATGTTATGCTATGATATGCTGCGCTATGATATGATATGCTATGCTATGCTATGATATGATATGATATGATGCGCTATGGTATGCTATGCTATGCGATGCTGCGCTATGCCATGCTATGATATGCTATGCTATGATGTGTTGTGCTGTGCTATGCTGAGCTAAGCTATGCTATGCTGTATTATGCTATGAAATGCTGCGCTATGCTATGCTGTGCTATGATATGATATGTTATGATATGCTGCGCTATGCTATGCTGCGCTATGCTATGCTATGCTATGATATGGCATGATATACTATGCTATGTTATGCTATGATAATGCTGCGCTGCGCTAAGCTAAGCTGAACTGAGCTAGGCTAGGCTAAGCTAAGCTAAGCTAAGCTAGGCTATGCTAAGCTAAGCTAAGCTAAGCTAAGCTCAGCTAAGCTAAGCTAAGCTAGGCTAAGCTAAGATGAGATCAGCAACGCTAAGCTAAGGGGACGTAACTAGGGGAACCGCGGGGCGGATCCTGGGGGAACCGCCCGGGGCGATTTACACTGCCCGGCCCCTTTAAGCTAACAGAGTAAGAACCCTCTAGGCAGAGCCTAGGTAGGGAACATAGTCAAGAAATATACAGAAAATCGGTCGTCCTTACTGTGCGGGTCGACTGTGAGCATATAATGTATATCTGGTTGATGCTGACCGAACCTGGAGGACTGGCCCCACAGCCGAGCCACCGCTGCCACAGCCGCCACTGCAGGGCGTCTGGGGCTCGGGGGCGTCCCAGCAGGGGGGCGTCCATTCCTCCTCCTCCTCCTCCTCCTCCTCCTCCTCCTCCTCCTTCTCCCCCTCCTCCTCCTCCTCCTCCCCCTCCTCCTCCCCCTCCTCCCCCTCCTCCTCCTCCTCCTCCTTCTCCTCCTCCTCCTCCTCCTCCTCCTCCTCCTCCTCCTCAGAGGGGGGATCGCAGATTATGGCCCGAGGCGCTTGCGCGGCCCAAGAGGTCCAGGAGACGTGCCGAGATCAGAAGAGGGGCCAATGAAATCTGCGGAGACATCCTGGCCCCAGCCATGATGCCCCAGAGAAAGAGGAGGAGGAGGAGGAGGAGGAGGAGGAGGAGGAGGAGGAGGAGGAGGAGGAGGAGGAGGGGGCGGAGGAGGAGGAGGAGGAGGACGAGGAGGAGGAGGAGGAGGAGGGAGGAGGAGCCCGCCCCATACAGTCAGCCCGCATAGCAGGCACGCGCGATAGGGATGCAAAGGGCCTTGGACGCCCATTTCGAAGCTCCTCGAGCGGAGCGCGGCCAACGTAAGTGGCCAAGGATGGACCGAGAAGGCAAGGATGCAAGGGTAATCCGATAGCCCTTGTAAGGGGCACGAAGTGACGATGTCAAAGCAGGGCCCAGGAACTGCTTTGAACATTTTCAAAAAGATTCAAAGCAGTCCCCAAGCACTGCTTTGACCGTTGTCACAGGGGTGTATCACATACGACATCGGATGATGGTGCTTATGATGATGCTGATGCTGATGCTGATGATGATGATGATGATGCTGATCCTGATGATGATGATGATGATGATGAAGATGATAGTGATGATGATGATGATGATGATGATGATGATGATTATGATGATGATTATGATGATGATGATGATGGTGATTATGATGATGATGATGCTGATAGTGGTGATGATGATGGTAGGGATAATGATGATCATGATGATGATGGTGATGATGATGATCATGATGATGGTGATAATGATGATGATGATGATGATGATGATGATGATGATGATGATGATGATGATGATGATTATTGTGATGATGATGATGATGATGGTGAGGATGATAATGATAACGATGATGGTGATTATGATGGCGATGATGATGATGATGATGATGATGGTGATTATGATGGCGATGATGATGATGATGGTGATTATGATGGTGATTATGATGATGATGATGATGATGATGATGATGATGATGGTGATGATGATGATGATGGTGATGATGATGATGATGATGATGATGATGATGATGATGATGATGATGATGATGATGGTGCGGATGATGACGACTGTGGAGGCAAGGATGCAAGGGCACCCTTGGGAAGGTTGCCCATCCTTACCACGCGGGCTGACCCTAGCCATCCCCCCCCCATTCTTGGCCGCCCCCGCCGGGCGTCTGGAGCGCGCCGCCGCCCCGCGCGCTCGCGCCTGTGTACGTGGTGAAGCAGATGTCCGGGCCGTGCTGCACCGGGAACGCCCTGGGAGGGCACGGGCCTGGGCTGCCCGCCGGCCCTCACACGGCGAGGGCGCCCAGGGCCTGGGGAGCGCTCGGCGGCGCCCGGGAGGGCCGCGGCATCGAGCTGCTCTCGGGCAGGAGCACGTGGGCTGAGGTCGGGCCTGTCCCCCTACAGGCAGATTGTGGACGAGAAGTAAAAAAAAGTCAAAACATACCCCAAGATGGTCGAAAAATTGTCGAAAAATCGTGCCCAGACCATGTTTCGACCACCTTTGAATATTCCCCCTGTAGAGGGACACGCCCGACTCAAACGAGCACGTGGGACCTGCTCTCAAGCAGGAGCATGCCGAGGCAGCGAGTTGCCCGTCGAGCACCGAGCTGCCCGGCGAGCAACGAGCTGCCCGTCGAGCGTCGAGCTGCCGTCGAGCATCAGCATGTCTCTGTGTTCGGCATCGAGTTGCCCGTCGTAGTTACCATGTGGGATCTGCTCTCAAGCAGGAACACACCGCAGACGGATCTACCCTTTCTCCGCCCTTGTGCTGCGCCGAACGCAACGGCCGCGCTGTCTACAGACGTGTCTACCACGAGTGCCCAGAAATGTAGCGACATCCGATGTGTCTAAAGACGCTTGTGGCCAGGAAGTGGTAATGATACTCCAGATTTCGTAATAAAGGGAGGGGGGTCTCATTTCGGGAGGGGGTCTCTTCACGGCTATCTTGGAGGGCCTGGGGGGTCTGGGGACGATGTTTTGAACGGTTCTCCCACGGGGCAGGTCTAAAATGGCTTGTCTTGCAGGGTCCAGACCCCCTCCCTTTTATTACGAAATCTGGAGTATTTGGCACAGGCCCCAGCTATTGGTCTTCCAGGAGCAGGTACACTTGGCCCTCCGAGCATCGACGAAACCAGCTGCGCAAGCATAAAGAAAACCACTGCGCGAGGACCGCGCGCCGACGCCGCGGCGCCGCCCAGCGCCGCTGCGAGAGATCGCGCAGACCTTCGAAGGCTCGGGCCTGTGCGGTTGCCTTCTTCGACTCGAGACACGGGGGGGTGCCTCGTGACACGCTTCGGGGCCCCAGAGGGAGCTCCACCTATGGCCGGAGGTCAAGAACTTGCGTGGCGGCCTCCCTCACGTGTCGGCACACTCCTGACGAGGATGCGGGGCCATCCGCGGCTTCACGAGCTCGGCGCACAGCCGTGCACGGCACACGTCCGCAAGAGCAGTGCCGTCGGAGGCGCGCCGGGCCTGTCGCCCTCTTCTCGTACGGGCTGCGCCCCCAGGCTGCCGGTTCTAGTGCCCCGAGGGAGCGGTGTGAAGCAGCCTGCTCAATGCGGCTTCTCGTGCGATAGCATCGGCCTCAAATGCGGATGGACATCATGGTGGGAAAATACCAAGCTCTGTCACTCCATGGTTGTTCCCTACCAGGAAAACCAAATCTGCATACACGCTTTGTCGTCGCGGCCTTGCGCGATCCAGCAGAGCGAGCGCGCGGCGGGCCTCACGCAGCAACCCAGGCGGGAGGCGCAGGGCTCGTCCGCTAAACGGCATGCGGCAGGTTTTTGTCATGACGACCCATGCGTTGGTTTCTGACACCGCGTGGATCGTTCAACTTTGAACGATCGGCAGCTTTTCGATCACCAAACGGTTCAAGAGTAAAACTCCTAATACTCACCCCGACACGCCAGGCCGTTTAGCAAACGCACCCGAAGAGGGAATCAGATGGGGCAGGGCTGCTCAGCAAACGCCCAGGGCCGTTCAGTCAACGCTAGTTGTCGGGTCCGGGTGGGCTTTCTTCCCCTGAGTAGTGGCCGCTGCTGGGCCTCTGGCAAAGCTCAACCACCACCAGCGGAGGTGGAGGAGGAGGAGGAGGAGGAGGAGGAGGAGGAGGAGGAGGAGGAGGAGGTGGAGGAGGAGGAGGACGAGGAGGAGAGGAGGAGGAGAAAGAGGAGGAGGAGGTGGAGGAGGAGGAGAGGAGAAAGAGGAGGGGGAGGAGGAGGAGGAGGAGGAGGAGGAGGTGGAGGAGGAGGAGGACGAGGAGGAGGAGGAGGAGAAAGAGGAGGAAGAGGAGGAGGGGTCGGGGTCGCCGCCGCGTCGGCAGGCCGCGAGCCTGCCGTGCGCACACGCTTTCGGCGGTCGGCGCGGCTCTCTTTTGGCGTCGCCGCCGGAGCCCCCTCCCGTCCCCGCGCGGAGCGCACCCGCGGTGGCCCTGCTCGGGCCCAAGGGATCAGCGTGCACCTCCGAGAGCGCAGGGCTGTGCCACGCTTCGCTCTCTGGGGCCCTCCCCATGCTGATGGGCCGGTTTTCCACCACCACCGCAACAAGTTGCAGAGGGGAAGGAGGAGGAGGACGAGGAGGAGGACGAGGAGGAGGACGAGGAGGAGGACGAAGAGGAGGAGGAGGACGAGGAGGAGGTGGAGGACCCCCTCCCCCTCCAACTTATGGTGGTGGTGGTGGAAAACAGGCCCATCACATGCCCCCTCTTCTCCGCTTCGTGCTGCTCCGTGCAGTGGGGGCCCGACCACCAAAAACCTTCCGCGAGGAACCCAACCCTGAAACCCCAGGGCGTCCCCTGTTTTTCGGTGTGGGAACGTCGCGCCTTCCACAGCAGGACCGTCGAAACCCAAGAAACCCAGGACACCCTGGAGGCAAGCTAGGGTGTTTCTTGGCATGGGTCCCCCCTGTACGGCAGCTTCGTGCCGTGACGACCTCGTGGAGGGTTTCTGCCGCTGCGCGGACCACTCAACCCTGAACTTGATCGGGGCTCTCCAAACAAGCGCAGACCGTTCACCCAAAGCTGGACGAATGACCTCTAATGGTGTGCTCAACTTTGACTACCTCGGCCCCGGCTGCTGCCACGGTACCCGCTGCATCGACTGGCCGCTCCGGCCTGCTCCATGCGGAACTCTTCCACGTCTGAGCGCTTTCCCCTCCCCCTCCCCCCGCGCGGCCGCCCTCGTCTTCTTCCTCCCTCTTGCACGCTGGACAATTAGGTCTTCCGGTTGCCCCGAATAGCCACACGCTGGAGGGGACTGTCCCTGCCTCGCCGCCGACGAAAAAAAATCAACTTAGACTGCCCGCGGAACGGTCGTCGCCGAATCACCCCGACTGGGACCCACCGTAAATGTATCTGCTCGCTCCCGGGTGCAAGGGCACGGAACCCTCAGATCGAGGACTGGCCAGGACCCGAGGCTCAAATCAGATACGGCATGGCCACAGTCAGGCAACCGTCAATTCAGGACTGGCATGCAAGAGACACGCCACCGCACGCGAACCAAAATATTGTTCTCTAAAGCGCGAGAATATCGAGTCATGACATATCGGAAGCATGGCCCCTATGGCACAAGAACAAGGTTAAGACTGTTCAGGCTCACTTGCTCGTGTGTCAATCATCATGCATCAATTCGTTTTCGGTCGCCCCCCCAGGGTATATCTTTTCCTTGCCTGCCATGCGTAATTGGCGCAGCCGCTAAAACAGGAAGAACCGAAAGAATGGAAAATATATACAGAGAGAGAGAGAGAGAAAGAAAGAAAGAGCAGGGAAGAAAGGAGTGCGGGAAGGGGGGGAGAAAGGGGGGCAAGAGGGATTGAGTGAGAAAATGGAGGACGAGAGAAAATAACAAGAGGGGAAGAGATAGGCCTAGGGGTAGGCATAGGGGTAGGCCCACGGGGTAGGCACTAGGGGTAGGCCTGAGGGGTAGGCCCAACGAGTAGGCCTGCGCGTCGCCCCTCCGCGCGCAATCAACGCACACTCGAAGGCAAGTGCCATGCATCCGGGCGGTTTCGACAGTTCCTTGATATGGGAGGTAGATTGGGCGCTCTTGGGGCTGCCTTGAACCGTCCTGGGTCCTCTGAAGCGCGCTTGGGGCTGACTTGGGCCGTGTAGGGCCGAACACGACCGAAAATTTGGCGATCACATCGAGGCATCCCGAAGCCAATCCCCTCACGCCCACCCTTTAGTAGTTCTCCCGACTAACGGATCGCGACGATACGCGCGCTTTCCGTCATCCGCCGCCCCCTGCGCTGGCCACAGGGGTGCACGCCGTGCCGAAGGTTCCTGGCCCAACCAGCCAACCACTTCGAAAACAACCGGGTCATAAGTCTCTCCAGCCCAAGACGGCCTCCAAGACGGCCAAGATGGCCCAAGATGACCTCGAAGTTCGCCCGAAATGGTCCAAGGTGGCCTCCAAGAAGGCTCAAGGCCTCCAAGTCCACCCAACAAGCCATCAAGACAGCCCCAGATGGCTGCAAGATGGCCTAAGGCGGCCCCAAGAGGCCTCCGAGACGGCCCCTGGGGCCTCGAAGAGGTTTTCAGGAAGGCCCGAAAAGGCAAAATCAATGATTTTGGCTTGGTGGTGTAAAGATGCTGGCGCTTGCTATTTCCCGTCGTTTGATGGCCCAAGATGGCCCAAAAGGCTTCCCATATCGCCTCAAGATGGACCAAGAGGCCTCCAAGATGGCCCTTATGACGACCTCAAAAGCCCCTAAGACAGCACTGAGAGGGCCTCAAGACTGCCCAGGAGGCTTCCGAGGCGCCCGAAATTGCTTCCAAGCCAGCCCTGAAGAGCTGAACGACAAAAACCAAATCCGTTGAGAGAGGCCGTCAAAACAACTCGGGACCTCCCGGGGCCTCCTGAAGCCTCCCGGGGAGTATTCGTGCACCAGGAGAGGCCCAATATCTATATCTATGTGTATATATATATATATATACATACATACATACATACATACATACATACATAGAAACAGACATACATCAAACACTGCGGATGGGAGCCACAGGAGAAGGGCAACATGTAGGAACACGCGTAAAACACAAAGGAATCGTGCCCCAGGTGTTTTTAGCTGTGCCCTCGGCTCGCGCGGCGCGAGCTCGGCCCTGGGGCGGCCCCAGGGCGTGCGCCGTCACCAGGGGCGCCCGCGCGGGGCACGCACCTGGCCGTGCCAGCCCCAAACGGGGCCAGACCACCAAAGGCACTCCCCTTGACACCGCCGCTACCGCGGAGGCCGAAGCTGACGAATGCTCGGCTTGCTCTACTGAAGTCTGC